TGTGTACTAGTACATCGATCATCGATGACATTAACACAAACTGAAGCTACAAGTTAAATCACCAAATGAAAACATGCTCAAGTAATGACATGATTTCTTCTATTTTCACTAGGAGGGAAAAAAGACTTAATGATTAGTAAACCTTTTCAACAACATTTGAGTTGTCCAAACCAAACACAAGGACATTAATCCAAATCTGATCAAACCCAAAACCCACAGGGCAAACAAGTATGCCACATTACCACCACTAGAAAATCAAAGTTACCAAAAAGGGAAAAATCGGGGTAGTAAAAAAAAAAACCCAAAACATAGCTAAAAATCATACGTCTAAAAGGTCATATTTTTTGCTCACTAACACACAATCCGGTGATAACACACATCAATCAAGAAAAAAAACACTTACGGTGAAAAAAAAACATTGAGGGGGTAAGGGAGGCGAGAATCGAGATTGAGGCGTTTGGGAGAGGCGAGGGAGGCTTGAAGTGAGGAAGGATTTAGGACTCAGGCGGAGGCGAGATTGAGGTGACTCAGGCTTAGGAGGCGAGCGAGGGAGGCTTGAAGTGAAACCGGAGTGGACTCACGGCAGGGGAGGCTGCGTGCGGTGTGTGTGAAGGCTGGGAGTCTGGGACTGGGTGGGAGGAAGGAAAATTGGAAAACTTAGGGTTACTTACACGGACAGGTCGGGGCAACTCGGGTGAAAAGTTTCCCGGCCCGCGGCTTAACCCGCAAATTGCGGGTTGGGCCTATTTAAATCCAAAATTTTAAAAAAATATATATAACCCTATATGTTTGGGTCGGGTCGGACGTGTTAGTCGGGTTCGGGTTCAATTCTTACACCCCTAAAATGAACCCTTAACATGCGTGACTTATTTTCTTTCTATTTATTATGTTTTTAATTAGCTTTCCTATTTGAGAAGCTATAAATCTATCCTAATTTAAACCCCTTTAACAAACGAACCCTTAACATGCGTGATTTATTTTCTTTCCATTTATTATGTTTTTAATTAGTTTTCCTATTTGAGAATATATATATAAATATATATATATATATGTATATATATATTCTCTCCTTAAAAAAGAAAATGAGTTTCTCGTGGGGGGCGTTTCGTTGCGCCCCCACATTTTGTTCCGCCTCCATATTTTTAGCCTTTTTTTAATTTTTTTTAAGTTTTTTTTTCCGTTCTTTTTTCTTCCTTATTTTTTTATTGCATTTTTATCTTTAATTTTTATATATTTTTGAAAGTATCTCCTTTAAATACTTTTCTCACAGTTATTTATAATATTATTTTTTATAATTATTCTGTTAAATTAATTTACTCTTAAATGTGTTTCTTCATAAACATTTTTTGTCTTTGATTCTCATAAATTTTAATTTCAGTCACGAAAATTCACAAAATTTTTTTCCTTTAGTGTTGTACAGTGATTTAATTGTTTTTCAGGTTGCAGGATGTTGTTTCCAAAACATTTGTTATTTCCCAGATTATATATCGCTTTACGTTCACTATCATTCTGATGTTGGCGGTTTAATAGTTTTATGTTGTTTTTGTATATTGAGTTTTCACAGTCGTCGTCGTTTTAGAAATATAATGTCGTTTATATATTTTGTAAGTTTTGCGGTTTCAATACTTCTTTGCCGTTTTATATTTTTGTTGATGACTTATGTCGTTTTGTAGTTTACTGTCGCTGTTACATGATGTCGTTTTAGAATTGTTCTGTTGTTTTCTGTAAATTTTTTTTTTTTTTTTTTTTTTTAAGATTTGCGTCGTGTCATAGTTTCTGTCGTTTAAAACCTGTTATCGTTTTAATGTGTTCTTTCTTTCCTTTTGTTTTGTTTTATTTTGTTCTTTTTTTTTTTCCTTCAGCTTTATCCATTTACAAGACCGATATATACATATATACCAATTAGTATCCCCAGCCTTTATGTACCTTCGGCATCTGGTGGTAGAGGTGTCAAACGGGAGTGGTCAAAGAGTGAACTTTACATTGAAGAGCTATGCGGAAGTATATGCGCAAGAGAAGATTCTGAGTACTGTAAAAAAAAGTGACTCTTTTCGTTATAATGTCTTACTGCAGGATTAGTTTTTTTGACCGTATTATTAAATTTGATTAAAATTATATGAAATTAAAAAAATATACAGAGTGCATAATTTTTAATGTAGATTTAATGATTAAAAAAATAAAATTACTGTTAGTTTTATTTTTTTATTCTTACGGAAGAAACTCTAAAAAGGAAACAAAACAAAAAAAGTGAGAGAGAGGATTATTAGGAATCTTTTGCGTGACGCAGACCCACAATGAGATGTCACGAAGGATGATTAAAAAAAAATAATAATAATAACGTCCATTCGAAAGGGCTTAAAGAGGCATTAATGCATGAAATATTCATGAAGGAAAAGAACGACTACTTACAAAAGTTTTAAGAAAATCAAAATACCAAAATGACGCTTATTATATTTGAATTCGAAGCAGCCAGAAAAAAATAGTTGAATTCGAAGCAAATGTGCGGCGCAAAGCTCTAATATATACTTGTTCATTGACGACTCCTGAATTTCTATCCCTCAACATATAGGCTGTCAAAGCAAATCAGTCTTGTTGGAACGAACAAGTATTTGATAGAGATTTAAGAAGTCTAGAGTTCTAGAGAAAGTAAAAAGACCGGAAAAACTCAACCTGTTTGTTTCCGTATTCATACTTAAAAATTCAATCTAAGTGGTAAATCAAGTTTAAATTCGTATTTAAATAGCGCGCAATTTAAATTATATTCTAGCCTAATTTTAAAGTGGGTCAACTTATAAGAATATAGCTCTCCATAAAAACCGTTCAAACCAACGAAACGGGGTGAAGATTTTGTTTTTGCTTATAAGTATAGTACGGCACTTGTTAGTTGTAAAGTTAAATAAATGTATAACTTGTATCAATAAAAATTTCAAGATTAGGAAAATTAATGAAAAATAAAAATAAAAATAAAAAATCGCGCGACGACTTAGTGGCTCCTCCACTATTAGTCTTTAGTCTTTCTAAACCAAAGGAAAACACGTATCCGACAATATATATACAGCTGCTCTGCTTATTTTTAGAATTATAAGAATTAAGAATTGTATTGTAGTACTGTTGCAGAATTTTAATAGCAAAAACCACGCATAAAGAGATCGAGTAGTTGAATAAAAAGTGAACTCCCAATCTGAAACTTAAAATGACAGTATTACTATGGTATGAAAAACCGAACAAGTAGGTCATATGTAATTAGCAATCTAACAAAGTGCATGTTCAATATATATAGCTGCTGATATACGCATATATATATATATATATATATACATACGTATATGTGTGCGTACACATCTATATATATATATATATTTAATATGGAACGAGACGATATATGTGTGCTGATTCAGTGAACCGATAAGATCAGACGGTCCTCCTTTCTTTTTCTTTTCTTTTTTTTTTTTTCTTTGGGTGAGGATCACCGAAATTAGGTCAGATGTCCACTCATAATATTTTTCAATTTGTTGGACAAAATCCTACGATATAATATGTGGGGGAGCCAGGCACATGCATTGCTCTCAGAATGGGACACGAGATTTTTGGAAATTTCTTTTAAATGTAAATTTTTGAGGAATTTTAATTGTGCGCCCAATGAGTTAGGAAAATTATATACGTGTGGTTCCACTCAAAAAAAAAAAAAAAAAAAAAAAAATTGATGTCTCCCTACTATCCAATAGAGATTCCAACATACCTTAACTTATATTTTTTATGTTCTCATGTATTCGGCCTCTAGTAAAAACATTCCTGGCTGCGCGATTGGACATACCACGATCAGGTTTTTCAATTCAGAAGTGATGCTTAAAATAATTAATAAAAATAAGATGTATATGTCTATAAATCTGTTAGTTCCTAAAATAGAAGCATGGTGTCATTTTGATTCTTAAATTTGTAATTTTGATAAATTAGTCTCTTAGTCTCTAACAAAAAAAATTGACGAAAATTTCTTAAATTTGATGTAGAGAATCATGTTCCGGCCGTATAATAAAATTCATATTGAAATAGTTACCATCTTTAAAAATTACCATCTATAAAAAATATTATCTTCAGTGTTATCCTTTAAAAAACAGAACATTTTACATTTGAGGAAACTATATTCAAAAAAATTTCAGTTATTATGTGATTAGAGTGCGACTACCTCTGAGAAATTTCAATACTCATTCTTCAATTTTAGTATCAGGATTACAACTGCCAAAAAATCAAACTTTTGGGGACCAAAACGACGGGATGCTCACACACACACACACACACACACACATATATATATATATATATATATATGTAGTTACAAGGGAAAAACTACTCTATTTTAGCAAAGACCCTGACCTAGCATGACCGAATAATTTGGAAGGCTCTGAAGATCGATGCCCTACTATTGTTAATTGGGTCCCGAAAACAACAACCTGTTTGCCCTGGCAAACTTAGAGCCATTTATTAATAGATATTCTTATGCTCTTATATATATACCCTACATAATGATCAAATAATACTATTTGATGCATCATAGATCCTCTTTCATAATCTAAGCACAGTACTTTAAGTTGTCTCAACTCGATCCATCATTGATGTGAAATAATTATTTTATTCCAAGTCGTTATTACATATGTCAACTGATGAAGAGCCTGCCTCCAACACTCTTCTTTCACCTTTAAAAACTTTTAAAAGGGGAAAATTTTTAGTACTAATGTACTTTACCATTGATCATATAGTTATAATATATAATAATGATTAACAATAACAAAGTAACTACAAGAATTGACGTGTGTATATACTTTCAAAATATTCTTTCCATTAATGTCTTCAAGCCAATATTTGATTGACCAGCTAATTCATCGCTGCATGAAATGCTTTGCCTCTCTCTCTCTCTCTCTCTCTCTCTCTCGCTCAAGATGTAGACATATGAATTTGGTTGATCCCCAGACTGGTGTGCCAAATGAAATATAAACATACCCTTTTATAAATAGTAAAATCCATCGAAACATGCAAGTCCCATACAGTCAAATCATGTGCGAGAATTGTAATAAATTATACGATGAAAAAAAAAAAAAAAAGCAAACGACAGCTTATTATTCATCGAGTACCCCACATTACAGCTAGCCACGAAATTATGTTTGACGCAAATTTTATGAAGGACGTTCACTGTGGATATGCCTCAATGATGGATGTTAGGGCAGGGATTTTGGTGACTTTGTAACGCGGAAAACCTCCTTCTTTCAATATGTTTTTCCACTCATTCTCAGTCCTCTCCTTACCACCAGAGGTGTGTGCAACCATAACAAGGTCAAACACCAAACCTGTCTCATCAAACACCCCAGTTCCTTCTGGCTCCAAAACTATGTCCACTATAATAACTTTCCCGCTTTTCTCCGGTATCGCTTTCCGGCAATTCTTCAAGATCTTCACACAATCTTCATCGCTCCACTCGTGCATTATCCACTGCTTACATTTAGAAGATGGTTAAAAATCATCACAACACTTTATATATAATATATCAATATATATGTACGCGCTCTTATTTAATATAACATAGAATATACATTTGTCGATGTTTAGTTCATAAATTCAGAATTATTCTCGATTTACGTGTATTTTTTTGTGAGAAAAAATACTGTAACGAATCAAAAATCATGATTCGAATCATGGTACGAATCCTCATACCAAACACCCCATAAAGATTCCATCTCATCTTCTTGGATCTGAAATACAACTCTTATTTTATAATATTTGTCATATTAAAACAAAATTGTTTGTTTTTTCTTTTTAAAAGGGAGTACAAGTACGGATGGTGAGTATCTTAGCTTGCCTTCATGAAAATTGCGTCAGCATTTGGAACGCTCTTAAACATGTCTCCCCCAACATGGGAAACTCCTGGATGCTCCGGTGCCTTGGCGACCACATCTGGCAGATCAAAGTTGATGCTCTTGATGATGTGCGGACAGGATTTAACGATCTGAGCCACGTCACCACCGGTCCCACCTCCAACGTCCAGCAACGATCCCAAACAACCGAATCCATCTTTGTAGTATTCCGACAGGACCGCCCTCATCACGATCCGGGACGCACACTCCATGCCCCGATTGAACATCTTGTTGAACTCGCCGTTCCCGGTGACGAAGTCCCATATCTCGGGCCCATGGGCCTTCTCCAAGGGAAGCCCACCATCTTTGACGCACTGGCTGAAGCAGTGCCACGGCGCCATCAGCAACGGATGGTTCTCTAGCAGGAGCATCGGTGCCAGAGTCAGCTGATCATCTGACGTGTCACGCAGAAGCCACCTCGACGACTGTGTCAGGCCGTAGAGAGTGGCGCTGTCTCCGGAGCCGTCTGATGATTGACGGGCGGTGAAGATCTTTAGGCGGACCAGGAGGCGCATGATGCGCGAGAGGCAGGAGATGTCTGGAGAAGAAGCCCTTGGAAAGGCGGCGACTATTTCAGCCAAACTCATCGGGCCGCCGTTGGACTTTATGATGTCGGGTATTCGGAGCTCCACCGCGCATTTCACGGCCATGGAATCCGCGAAGCTGAACATGTACTTCCATACCTCTGCTTGGCCTCTCAGACTTGCCTCGTCAAGTTTCATTTCTAATATTATTCAATTTTTTCTCTCCAACTAGATAGATAATCTCTTTGTAAAAAGCTAGAATGGTTATTATGCTCTTGCATCTTGTACTTATTTATAGTGGTGAGTGACATAAAAGTAAAAAGATAGTTTGTTTTATAAATGTTTATATTATTCAGTACGGTGAATATTCTATATGTTCTTTAAACCCTAATTAGTATAAGAGTACGTTTTTATTATCTTTATGTATTAACTAGAAACGCAAGTAAGTGCCAAAGAACGAATTAAGTTCCCTGCCCCATTTGTTTATTTATTTTTTGTTAGGTAACAACTCCATCTATAATGCAATACTGACGTCTTGTTGGAAATGAGTAGGACAAGTGATGAGATAATATAATTGCTTAGTTGGAATATGAGTAGGAAAAGTACAGGAGATGTGATTATATATTAACAAGTAGAAGTGCCCCATTTCTGGTCTATAATTAGAAATGAGACCTAAATTAATCTTCCCAGCTTTCGCTCACTACAAGAATTTGAATTTTTTGTTACCAAAAATTTGGTAACCAAAAGCCCTATTTTTAGTAGCAAAATGTTTTTATTACTAAAAAATTTTGGTAGTAGAAAGTGGGTAGCAGAAAGTATTAGTTACCAAAATTACTATTTGCTACCAAAAAATTTTTTAGTAACAAAATGTATTTGGTAACAAAATATATGATATTCGGGGATTAAAAATTTTGGTAACAAAAAGCTTTTGGTAGTGAAAAGTGTGAGCTTTAGGACCCTAAAATTTTGATAGCAAAAAGTACGCCATTCAGTCACCAAATATTTGGTAATAAAAGGTATTTGGTAGCAAAAATTATGAAATTTAGGGACTAAATATTTAGTATCAAGTTGTATTTGGTAGCAAAATGTATGAGATTTGGTGACCAAATATTCGGTCGTAAAAGGTATTTGATAGCGAAAAATATGAGATTTAAGGACCAAATTTTTTATAGCAAAATGTAGTTGGTAACGAAAAAAAGAATCAGGTACCAAATATTTAGTAGCAAATAACTAATTTGTTGCTACAAATTTTTTTTTTGTCACAAAAACTAATAGATTTATATACTTGTATTTTTTGAAAAAATATATAAATAAAATATCAAATATTAATTTAAAAATCTATAAATATTTCAATACATATTAGAATTCAAAGAAAATACTAAGGGTGTGTTCACTTCGTGGGTTAACTCAAATTGGGCCAATTAGAGTTGAAACTCTGACTCAAGTTCGCGTTCGGAAAGGAGAGTCACGATTGTAACTCGAATTGAAACTCGAGTTAAATGCCCGAATTGGGAATTCAACCCCCCTTTGTAGTCCATTAACTCCAACCCATGGCTACAGTAAAAGCCATCTGCCACAACTCTCAGCTTTTACCTCACAACTCTTATCCTCATTACCGTTGCTCTGCCTCCTTTCTGAGCTCCATCGACAGGTCTCTCCACCCGTCATCCACAGGAGAGATTCACTGCAAATATCTTGAATCGAGAGTCTTCCCTTCTCTCACGTGCTGGAGTTCTACAGATTTTGAGCGAGGATCCATTTCCTCCTTATCGTTGCTCTACCTCCTTTCCTATTCCCACCGACCGGTCTCTCCACGCGTGCGATTCCCATCATCCACAGGAGAGTTTCACGTATAATATCTTAAATCGAGAGTCTTCCCATGTTTCTGTCGTGCTGGAGTTCAAAATATTTACCTTCTTTTGAGCGAGGATCCCTTTCCTCGGCCATCCCTGCTTTGCCCAAAACGGAGAAAATAGCGCGACCTAAAGGCTCTCGGCAAACTCCGTTGGCCGTTCTTTTGGGTAGATGTAGCCACAACTGGCGACGCCAATCTCTGCAGCGTCGTCTTCATCTGAGCTTTTTTTGCGGTCGGTATCGCAGGTGGAGAAATTCCGGTAGGGAATCGACATCACGGTTGGGGTTTTTGTTGGAGGAGCAAACACATTCGTCGACTGGATCCAACTCAGTAAAGCAGTTCACCCTTTACCTTTGTTTTCCATTTCATTCACCATTTTTCTGCTGAACCTGAAATAGAGGCCATCGAAAATAATTTTTGATTGATTCCTGGCTACCACGAAAACATGTGTCTGCTGAGAAATGCATCTCTGTCATATACCACCATGTTTAATCCCTTGTTTCTGCCGATGGTCATCTTTTAGAGTGAAAGACATAAGTATAATTCACCCATGATCGATAAAATGTAGTTAATTTGCTTTAGTTTCTGTCATTTGAGAATGTTTAATCCCTTGTTTCTACCGATGGTCATGTTTTAGAGTTAAAGACTTAAGTATAACTCACCCATGATTCATAAGTAGTTATTTTGCTTACTTTCATTCACTTGAGGATGTTTAACCCCTTTGTTTCTGCCGATGGTCATGTTTTAGAGTGAAAGACATAAGTATAATTCACTCATGATTGATAAGATGTAGTTAATTTACTTTAGTTTCTGTCATTTGAGGATGTTCAATCCTTTGTTTCTGCCGATGTTCATGTTTTAGAATTAAAGACTTAAGTATAACTCACCCATGATTCATAAGTAGTTATTTTGCTTACTTTCATTCACTTGAGGATGTTTAACCCCTTTGTTTCTGCCGCTGGTTATGTTTTAGAGTGCAAGACTTAAGTACAATTTACCCATGAGTTTACGCATGGCATTGTTGTGCAGATGAACTCTTTGTTCTTATTGGATTTAATACTTTAGCAGTGATGATTTTTTTTGGCATATCAGTTTTGTTGTAGTGATATCCTTTTAGTTTCTGGCATTTATCAGTTGCTACTGCATGTAATTAGGTTATGTTGGATTGAATGTCATGTGTTGTAATTTTTTATTGCATTATGACCTATGCATTTAAATCCCTGGCCTATTACAATGTGGTTTGGTAGCATAAGTGTCATTCCAGGAGGATAATGCTCCGAAACTGAAATGATATGATTATAACCAAATCTGAGCCAATCAAAAGATTATGTACTTTAATCCTCTTTCTTCTTTGTTGTCGCATATGTCGCTTTGTTCTCGTGGTTGGTGGTCTTGCTTGTATCTATTAGATGCCGCGACGGAGTGAGGATGACGTGACCTTCTATTGGTCCGAGACACAAAAAACTGCAGTTTTGAAGCAACTTGCGAACTACAATAAAAACAATAGGGGCTGTCAACCTGAATCGGCGGATTGGGAACGATGGGCGAAAGACTTGTCCCCACTTTTTTCATCACCTATTCCTCCATGGCGCGTTAAAGAGGCAAAAGAACAACTGAAGAAAAAATTCAATGCGGAGGTCGCCCTCCGCACAAATACCGGACTAGGATGGGATCCAATCAAGAATACCCCAACTTGCACTGATGAATATTGAAATGATTTCTACGACGTTAAGATATGGCATATGCTTTTTTGTTATATGTTTTTTTGTTCATGACATTTAACATGAGTTGAGGGACAAAGAACTGAACAATGAGGGGTGCTAGGGGGCTGGGGGCCTTAGGGGCAAGGGGGCCTCAGAGGGGCAGGGGGGGGCCTTAGAGGGGCTGGGTCCTTGTCAATGCTGATGTGGCTTTAATAATCTACTTCAAGAAAATGGATCTTGTGTTTTGCATTTTATACTCGTTTGTGGCCATTAGAGATTGCTTTATTTGTTTATCTCTTCAACAGACGCACAAGTGAGCGAAGCGTGCACGTAAAGATCCCCTCAAGAACTATGAGCTCTACTACGAAATGTTTGCTAGTAGGCGGGCCCGCGGTGCATTTGAAGAAAGTTTGGAAGAGAATGATGAGGAAGGTGACGTGTCTGAACCGAGTAAGGGAGCGTGATGTTGATGGCGGCAATTCGCAACATTTGGAAGGTGATAAAGCATTTGTCAACACAATGAGAGGGGCATTAAACTCATCAACTCGTCCCTTACACATGGGCTCGTCAGCGCAGTAGCCGAAGTGGAGCCTGAGGTGTGGATCCCGAGGCAAAATATATTATAAAAAGTATTGCAACTACGTTGAATCAGCGACAGAATAGTCGAGGTACAAGTTCAGGTGCTTCTCAGCGTGTGGAATCCCAGCGAACAACCTTCCAGAAGTGTCAGGCAGTTATTAGTGAGATGTTGTTGGACGATGAACAAAGCGTGTTGTTGATGGAGTACATAAATTAGAACCATAATTGTCAAGAGATGTTCTTGGGCATGAACAAGAGTCAAAGGTTGTTTTACGCATTGAGAACATTGAAAAGCATACCAAAAAATGCCAGACCCAACGTGCAGCAACAATATCCATATTATACAAACCCCACTCCATCATATATGGGTTCACCTGCACATTTTCACCCACCGGTCCAAAACTTCTCACAACAACAGCCTCATTTTCCCTAAGTACCCCATAACTTTAACCCACCACAACCTTCTTTCCAACAACCTACTCCTACTGGCCAACAACCCCTTCCTAACTTCCAAAATTTCACACCATTCTTCGTGAACCCCCAATTCTCACCCCCACCCGGCCCTTTTGGAGGAACCGGAAGTGATGAGATTTAAGTTGAGTGTTCATTTTTCAAGCGTGATTTCTTTTTCCATTTGATTGTGATGTAGTATCTTTGTTTCTTAGCTGGAACGATTGTTTTTCATTTCAATTTGAGACTGGCTTTAGATAGCGTGTTAACTTTGTGAGTGTGTTTCAGGTTGCATTGTAGACTTTGATTTAAAATGTTGATTTCATGTTATGCATAATTGATTATGTACCATTGTTCATTCTTTTCATTTCAAATATTGGTTCGTATATTATGAATGTATTGGCAGACAGAATGTGGAGTGGCGGACCATCAAACGCGGGAAACAATGGTCCACCCGAATATGACTCTGATGATGACTACATTCTTGGGGCAACCGCTGCTGCGGTATTCTATATGGCGTACTTGGAACATCCACTTCCGACTCTTCGGAATAATAGCCACTACACAGGTACGCAGCGTCTAAGTGATTTATTAAATGGACACGAGATGGTAATATACAATAAGATTA